GATAGATTATTAAGAGTCTATGTTCTCGAAAACATGAGGTTGTCTACTTGCCCCAGAACCAAATGATCTCAGTCTTAAGGTGGGGGACACTCAGTGGGAAATAGCCCTGTCTGTTTTAGGAATACATGCAACTTTGGACTAAAATAGAGTGGAAAAACTGGTGCCATTTGAAGGAAAAAAAGAAAGGGATTAGATTGAACTGATGCTCAAAGCCTCTCTGATATAAAATATTTGGTCACATATTAGTTGGCTTGACACTTCCAGCAAGGTGAAGATGCAATAACAAAAGGAAGAGAAGAGGTGGAGCCCCGCAGTTTCTGTTGGCACAAGACTCTTCGGTTCTGGTAACAGTTCAGTTCGTTTGCAAATTCCGCACGTGTCTTTTAGCTTTTCAGACAGAAGTTTAATTTCTTCGTATATATCCTGCTTTTCAGAATGCTTTTCAGATGCAGCGTCCAGCGATTTCAGACTGTTAGTGACATTCTTGACCTCTTCTTCCCGCTCACCACATTTTCGTTCAGACACCTCTGCACGCTCCTATGCCCTTTCCGGGTCGCCCTCTAGAGTGAGCAATTTCTGAGCCACCCTGTATGTATGGTCCGCCTCCTCAGCAATGTGCTTGGCCTCTTGAATTTCCATCATCTCATCTTTCATGGCCCGGTTTTCTGTCAGCTTCATTCCCCTCTCGCTTTCATCCGCAGCCTTTTCGGCCTCTTCCAGCTTCTGCAGGGCCGTGGCCAGTTGTTCCTGAGCTCTGTCCAGTTCCTCCTCCAAGAGCTGACGCACTGATTGACAGTTGCCACATCGCCTTTGGCTTTCTGCCGCTCGCGCTCATCATGCAGCTCCCGCCGCGGGCCCTGCCCTCTGGTCCTGCTGCTTGTCCTTGTACGTCTGCTGCTGCAGGGCCTAGACCCTGGCGTTTCTCCTCTCCAGCCATGTGAAGCCTGCCATGGCCCAGGGCACCAGGGCACGGGGCACATGCAGTGGGCTGGTGGCCGCAGTAGGCGCTCGGGGGCTGGGCGGGGCTGGGCTGGGCTGTCGCAAGAGCTGCAGCCGTGACTGAGTCATTTAACAATTTTTTATTCATTTACTGAGTTCTTCATTTTCAATATTTCTGTTTGATTCCTTTTCAGGATCTCTCTTTGCTGAATTTCTCAGTGATACCAGGCATTGCTTTCCTAATACTGGTTAAACGCTCTGTAGTCTCTCCTCTCATATGTCATCGAGTTGCCTTATAATTCCTTTGAATTCTTTATGAGGCATTTTGTCAGTATCATTTGGCTGCTAAGCAGTGACTGTGTTCCCTTGGAGGTGTCACATTCATATTTGAACTTCCTGTGTCCCTACACTGATAATTTTGCATCTGAAAGATCACTGTCTCTACTGCTTTTACAGGGTAGTTTTTGGTGAAAGACTTTTTCCTCAAGATGTGTCTTGATGTCAGCCTGGCGGACTACTTTAGCTATAATTCTAGTCGCACCACAGTGTAGTCTCTCTGTAATCCATAGCAGCGGTGGGGCTCCAGAGTGTTCATTCTTAGTGCTAGTGGGCTTGTGTGGGTCAGCTGATGGCCTTTGGCAAGAGGGAGCAGGCCCGGGCATGCACAAGCACTGGCCCAGTTCTGGTCAGGTTGGATGGATGCCGAAGCAGCCGGTGTTGCTGGTGGTGGAGGGGCTAGTGTCACCAGAGTGCCCATCCTCAGTGCAGAGTGGCATGTGGGCCCCCAGCAATAGGGCCGGGCCAAGGTCCCTGAGGCACCATTCTCAGGTCTCCCAGGATAGCATTGTTCCAGATGGTGGTGCTGTCGTGGATGGGGGCCGTTATTATGATATTTAACTCATATTTATGTTTATATGATTTTATGTTTATATATTTTAAGTGTTTTATAGCCATATCTTTCACTTTCTTATTAATACTTAAAATAATTGTTATATTACTAAGTTAAATACTTGTGTCTACTAAGTAGAGACAAAACATTTCAACAATATTTTCCAAGCTGTTAAAAATAGTTAACTTAGGGGAGTACAATTCAAGAACTGGTTTTAACCTCCATTTCTTACATGTTAATATTGTGGAAATATGATTTATTTTTATATATTTGATCAATTATAAAAATAAGCAGTTAAAATAAAAAACTGGGCCGGCGCCGTGGCTCACTAGGCTAATCCTCCACCTTGCGGCGCCGGCACACCGGGTTCTAGTCCCGGTCAGGGTGCCAGATTCTGTCCCGGTTGCCCCTCTTCCAGGTCAGCTCTCTGCTGTGGCCAGGGAGTGCAGTGGAGGATGGCCCAAGTGCTTGGGCCCTGCACCCCATGGGAGACTAGGAGAAGCACCTGGCTCCTGCCATCGGATCAGCGCGGTGCACCGGCAGCAGTGCGCCAGCCGCGGTGGCCATTGGAGGGTGAACCAACGGCAAAGGAAGACCTTTCTCTCTGTCCCTCTCTCTCACTGTCCACTCTGCCTGTAAAAAAAAAACAACAACAACAACAACAACAACAACAACAAAAACTGGTCCATCTAATCTTTAAATAGTCAATTATTTATAGAATATAATTTTGTGGTTTTTTATAAACTAAAAGAACAATATTTAAATATGTTAGAAATAAAATTTAACACTTTCAATCTCAATAGATCAAAGATAGGACACACTTTCTGTGTTATGAAGGCTTACATAAATTCAGTAGGAAAAAGCGGTTAGTCTAAAAGTAAAAAGTTTTTTGCTTTTCATTTAAGTCCCAACACCTTGTAGTCATTTGATTTTGACCTATGGTCTCTAAACTTGGATTTTCTTTTTGCTTTATATAATGTAGATCATATTATCCACTTTCTTTCCATATATGATTGTTTAAATATTAAGAAAGTAACATACATATACACAGTCACACTATGGAGAAAGGTGGTATTTAAATGTATGATGTTTTTGGGAAGGGCATTCTAGCATATTGGCATTTTATTTATTTCACTTTTTTATTGAATTAACAAGACTTTAAGATATTCAGAAAGAACTACATTTTATTTATTCATGATGTTTATCGTAATTTTTGGCAATAAATTTAAATTTAGAATCAAATTTTTTGCCATTTTAGATTATCTAATACACTACATAAATATAAAAATAAATGAATATGGATAGCAGGATTTATTTTTAGGATAGAAGTAATATTTGGTTTGTGTTATTTAAATAAATGTATGTTTGTGTAATTCTACCTTGATATTTACAGTTAATACCATTGGTTTCGATATTTTATAAACACAAGATGAAAACAGACATTGTTATTGCCTTTGAAATTCATGGGCCTTCTTAAAAAGAAAAATCAGGCTTACTTTGGACTACTCTGTTTTAAAAATTTTAGCTAAAATACAGATATTTCTAACAGGCTGAAGCATTAACAACACTGCTTGAATTTCTTTTAAAATTAAGTGCTACATAGGTCCATATGGGACTTTTTGAAAGTCACTGAGAAAATTTGGAGCAGACGTCACAGTATTGTATACATCACAGGCTGATGTATGTGCATAGGTCACATTTGCCACTTTTTTCCTAGGTTATTTATTTATTAATTCTGTGTAAAATTACACTAGTTAATTTGATGTTCACTGATTTATTCCAGAATCAGACTGCAATGAATCTTAATAGATTTTCAAAAGGTCATAACTGGAAAGTTTCAGTGTAATCTTTGCTGTTTAAATGGTAACTAGCTGAAAATTTTAAAATAGTCATATTTCCTAAGGAGAATACAAGATAATTATTTCTTATCCTTCCTGAATTTTTCTTCTTTGTTGAGGACGTTTGCTAAAAAGTAAAACCTATTTCTTGTCTTCCTAATACCAGGTTTTCATAAAGCCTCTAAAGATCCAGACTCTTCCCCTGGAGTGTAGTTCAAGCTCATATAGTATCCCAGTCTTGGGTTACACTGAGGTAGTTTCTGATAACAAACCCTATGGAGAACAGGACCTTCCCAAAATTTGTCTGTTCATTTCCGGCCACTCTGAAGGCATGTGGAAAGTTCTGTTGTCTTCTTCTGTAATTCTTTTTCTCAACTACTTATTTTAATTGTTCTACTCTACTCCATTCCCCGTACCTTATATTTTCCATATGCCATTTTCCATAGGCTATTTTAAAAAAATTCTTTGTACTTTATGACCTTCTGTGGTACGATGGGATAGACTGACAACAAAAGGTCTTGTAACACCAATAAAGTAAGGACTAGTAGAGATGCACTCAGGGTATTAAGGAGATACATGGGGTGGATACTTCCACAAGTTGTTTCTGAACCTATGGGAATAAGGTAGGATAAATACAGGAGGAGAAGTAGAAGGCTTCCAGGCAAAGATGATGAAAGGTGAGCAAAGGCCATCCTGGTAAGTCGTCTCAGGACCAAAGACGTGAAATAAGGAAAACTTGGCATTTACTAGGACAATATGAAGACAGACAGATCCTGTTGTGAACTTTTGAATAGTGTATTCTTTTTGAAGGTGCTTTATCACCAAGGACTACTCGTTACTGCTTAATCATGCTCCTTTTGGATTAGCTGTATTTAGTTCTTTAGCTATCATGTTCACAAAATCTGTCTATTTGAGGTTGGCATAGTGCAAAGACTATGAGTCATTAAAATGATATGCATACCTGGGGTCATTTTCCAGCTCTGGTATCCATTCACCATGTGACTTAGGACAAGTTGTTTGAACTCTTTGAACTTTAGTTTCTTTATCTTTAAAATGTAGATTATCATAGTTAAGTTTTAGAGATAAAACATTTGCCTTGAGATTAAGTGATACAATGTTTTTAAGATGCTTAGCATTGTATGAGCCCTACCTAGTCCCCCAAGAAGATGCCAGATGTTATTATTATATTGATTGATACAACCCTCAATTTTTCTTTTTAAATATTAATTAAATTGAATTGAATATTAGGACTCATAGATTGTTGGAGGTATGTAAATTACTTAGTCTAACATTTGATTCTTTAATCAAATCGTATTTTGTTTCTTTTTTAAAAGGCGAAATCTGAAATATTACCCAGTGTATTGGACGTGGCCCATCAATTTATAAAAGAAGCTAATCCAGATGAACCCAAAGCGGAGAATACTACAAAAGAGAGCAATAAAACTCAGAATAAACCCCAACCTGTACTGCAGGGGAACAGTTCAGGGGTAAGCTGCGGGAAATAGACTAGACATTGTCTATCTTATATGACTATGGCAACCATCATTCATATTCTTAACTAGACTATAAAGTTTCGCAGATTATTTTATAAAGTTATTATTTAATATGGGTTTGTGTCTTATTATTCAAAAATATCTGGATTGTAAGAAAGCCTTTTGCAGGGAGAATTTGGGTTCCACTGAACATTGATCTTTTTGATGAATGGTCTTTTGACCATATGACTTTCTGGATGTTTCTACCCTCTCAGGGACTGAGCAGGTATTTGGAGGAAACATTAAAAAACAATGATGAAATGTATGTTTTATATTGAACTTCAGATAGGCAAAAAATACAGAACTTTGCAAAGCACTTTAGGGGACAGGCAATTTACAGTTACTTAAAACCAGACTTATAGCAAATTCTGGTTCTTATTCAGATTGAGTACTGATCTGACAATGTGCTGGATAAGCTTTTATCAGCTCGCATCTATATTTTTTATAATAGATGTGTTGATTCTTTACTGAGAAATAAACTTAAAATTTTGGTCTATGGTATAATCTTCATTGTTTCAGAAGTCACTCACTTTTCTCCTGTAGTTCAGAAATGGTGTCTAATTTGCCAGAGTCCCACAGTTTACAAACTGATGACCAAGTTTGGATTGAACTTAAGTGTGTTGAACTGCCAACACGTGCTTACAGAACATGAATGAAAATGTGCTCTATACTTGGAGGACCTCTTTCCAGCAAAGGAACTATGCTTGGATTTTACAGAAAAGTCGACATAATTTTCATGGATTTCATTTCTAATGGATCTACTAAGGGTATTTTGTGAAGAGTCACTTAAAGAGTTACAGCCTGCTAATTATAACAATTTATTGAGGGCCTGAACTGTCCCTATTTATTTATTTATTTATTTACTTATTTGAAAGAGTTGAGAGAGAGAGAGAGAGAGAGAGAGAGAGAGGAAGGTCTTCCATCCCTTGGTTCACTCCCCAGATGGCTGCAATGGCCAGGACTGGGCCAGGAGCTTCTTCTGTGCCTCCCACATGGGTGCAGGGGCCCAAGCACTTGGGCTGTCCTCCACTGCGTTCCCAGGCCATTAGCAGGTAGCTGGATCAGAAGTATAGCAGACAGGAATTGCTTTGTCTGCTCTACTACAATGCTGTCCCTTACCCTAAATATTTTACACTAGCTATTTCCCTTTGTCTTTTCTTCCATATTTTTTGAAGATGGAAGAATAGTGGCAAAGAACTGTTTTTATGACTTTCTCAAGGTGTAATTGACTGGGCAACTTAAGATGAACTCAGATTTGACTGAAATCTGCTTTTGATCATCACACGGAAGCTGAGGTTTTAGAGGTTTTCTTTGTGCTTGCTGTTTTATCTAATTTAGCCTGTCTAAATGGAGCCTGTCTAAATTTAGCCTGTCTAAAATAAGAGCGGTAAATCAACAGCTAGTATTTATTTAACACCTTATTCTAGTCATTGTGCTGAATGCTTTATTTGCTTTTTCTGATCTAATAATCACAATAGCCATGTAAGTTTTTTTTTAAGATTTTATTTATTTGAGATGTAGTGTTATAGAGAGAGGGAGAAGAGAGAGAGAAAGGTCTTGCATCTGATGATTCACTCTCCAAATGGCTGCAATGACCAGAGCTGGGCTGATCCAAAGTTGGGAGCTTATTCCAGGTCTCCCATGTGGATGCAAAGCACTTTGACCATCTTCCACTCCTTTCCCAAGCCATAAGCAGAGAGCTGGGTTGGAAGAGGAGCATCTGGGACACAAACTGGTGCCAATATGGGATGCCAGTGTCACAGGCAGAGGCTCAGCTTACTGCTCCACAGCACTGGCCCTGACACTTTGTGCTTTTAGTCCTTACAATAAATGCTTCACAATGTTCATGGAAATACAGAATTAAAAGATAAGTTGATTTTGGTGTAAAACCTTTTCAAATTCATGCATACAAGAACTCTTTAAAAAGTTCATCGAGATGTGCACCACTAGATAAGTATGCATGGATTTCAAAAGTGTTTTTGCAATAAATTTAACTTATCTTTTCCACTCTGATTTCTACACAGATGTTTGAAATACCCTTGTATGTATGCTATGTAGACCCTCTGCCTCTTGTATTAACTTAAAAACATTAGTTTGGTGGTATATGTTAAGATCAATTGGAGAATTGATAAGAGAATGTGCATTATTGAGTTCTATTTCTCTGTAGGGTGGGGCTGAGACATGAGTGGTTTTAACAGCATATCATTGATTTCGGTGACTATTCTCAGTGGGGATTCACTTTTGTAGGTGCATCCAGGTGTGCACCTATATTCAAAGCACACACTAAAGAGAGAACCCTCATGGGCTTGGCACTCTGTGCTGAAGAGCAGTAGTTTTCAAACTATAGTAAGAATCAGAAACATAGGCAAGGTGTTGAACATATGAATCCTTGAATCTTCCATCAAAATTCTGTTCCCCTCTTACATCTTACATCTAGGTTAGCCCTCAAGAGACAGTCTTAAAAAAAAAAAAAAACTAAGAGAGAGGGAGGGAGAGAGACAGAGAATTCCCATTCTTTGGGTCACTCTTTAAATGCCAACAGCCAGGGCTAGGCCATGTCTACACCACAAGACAGGGACTCCGTGTGGATCTCCCACGTGGTCGACAGGGACCCAGGTACTGCTTCCCAGGGGTGCATTAGCAGGATGCTGGCATCAGGTATGGACCAGCACTAGAGTATGAGAGACTCAGGCACTCAAGAATGGGATGGAGGTACCTCAAACAGCATCTGAACTCATAGCCCAAATGTCTGAGCCAGGAATCTAATTTTCAAGGCACACTCTCAAGTAATTCTAATGGCTGGAAGAGTCACAATGGTGCCAAGTTGGATATCTGCCTTAGGGCTTTTAAATGGATTTAAACCAACGGGGGTATCCTTGGAAAGGGGTGCAGTTTAGGAAAGGACTTAGATTTTTGAAGCTAGAACACTGATTTGTAATACTGTTGCTGACTTTCTTACAGTTTTGTAAAACTAGAAAAACTACTTAGCCCTTTTGAACTCCTATTTTTTTTTCTTCTGGAATGTGGGGATATTGAAAGAGATCTTAAAGGGATATCATGTGCTTAGAGGGTAATGAATGCACTGATTGGCTATCCAGTGGCTCCTCTGAATTTCCTAATCTTTTTAGAAATCAGCAAGATTATGTCCAACTCTACATGGAAGTAATATTTAACATTTTTGAGTAAAACATTTAAAAGACAATCTAAAACCCTCTATCTTTGGTTTTTCTTACCCTGTATGTGGAAGCCAGGAATCCCAATTTGGCATGGCTCTAAGATGCAAATGTCTTATATCTATGCTTCATTGCTTGGAAAAGAGCTGCCCTGGAGAGCCACTGGAATCATTCATACTTAAACCATTTTGTATCAAGCTACTTAGTTTTCAATGCTTCTTTTTGAAGGCAGGATGGGTACAGGGACACACTCACATTTTGCTTCCTGGATTCCCATACGTATCTTCCCACATAGTCCTATCTCTCAGTATCTTAAAGCTAAATGCATCTTCTCTTTTCACCAACCTGAAGATGTCACTGTGTGAGGTACCTCATCTAGCTTTCCAAGGCAACAAAGACAGTTGTTTTCTACAGTCTATCTCCTTCTCTGTATTAGTCTGCTTGGGCTGTCCTAACAGAATATCAAAGGCTGAGCACTTTAAGCAACAAGCATTTCTTTTCTCCCAGTTCTGTAGGCTAGAATCTCAGATCAAATCTGTAGGCTAGAATTCCAGATCAGATCTGTAGGCTAGAATCCCAGATCAAATCTGTAGGCTAGAAATCTGAGATCAAAGTCCTGGTGGCTTCAGTTTCTGCTGAGGCTTTTTGTCTTTGCTTCCAAATGGCTGCCAGCTTGCTGTGTCCTTCAATGACTTTTCCTCTGTGTACAATGTGGAGAAAAAGGAATGGGGGTAGAGAATATACTAGCATACCGGAAAGCGATAGGAGTAGAGCAGGCCTATCAGAGTAAGGCCTCACCTTTATGACCTTTTACCCTTATTTACTTCCTCATAGAACCTGTCTCTAAATACAGTCATATTGGAAGTTAGGGCTTTAACACATTGTCGCTCCCCGTCTTCATGGAGGAACGACACAGGACCCTGCGCTGTTCTTTCGGCCCTTCCCGGGTTTGCTGCTGGTTCTTCCCGGGTTGGCTGCTGGTCCTTCCCGGGTTGGCTACCGTCCCTTCCACCTCCGTGGAAGGGCGGTTCCCCCTGCCACATTCCCCACTTCCGCAGGGGAGCGGCACACCGCCGGCCGGCTCTCTCGGGGGCTGCACAGGTGTTCCCCTTAGATGTTCCCCTTAGATGTTCCTGGTGCATGTTGTCTCTCTCCTCTTTTATAGTCCTCTTCCACCAATCCCAACTCTGCTACCCACACGCCGAGTACGCTGCTCTCCTCCAATCAGGAGCAGGTCCTACAGTTTATTGGTTGAACTGGAGGCAGCTGTGTAGAAGCTGTTTCTCCCTTCTCAGCGCCATATTGTGGGAGAGCAGATGCATAGAATAAGTCTTAATTCCAGTAACTTAGTCTAGTCCGAGTTGCTCCCCACAACACATGAATGGGGAGTTGGAGAGAGGGCGAAGCATAATTTGGTTTGTCAAAGTCACCATACTCCACACAATCTGCCATCCAAAAATGGCATCTCTTGAATGTTTGCTTACTGATTCTGTCCTTGATACTTTTCCAGATACTGCAGTTGAAGAACAACTAGTTTATGAAGTAGTTACCTTTTGTTTGCTCCCCTTCCAGGAGTCTATTGACATTTGTAGTTTTGTATTATGTATTTCTATACACAAATCTTAATGTACTCTGCATATTGATTTCCTAACATGTTTTTTACACTTAACACTATAGTTTTCATATTCATATAAGTACATTCTGGAGCCTTCACATTCTGTGTAGAATAAAATACTCCATTTATTGAATGGAAAATGACTTTTTAAACATCTGACTACTATTGATGAACACTTATACTGTTTCAATATTTTGTGAGTACATATTAAAATATGGAGTATAATTTCGGAAAAATTTGATTTCCTTATATGAATGTACATTAATGTAATAGAACTCTGAAATTGCTAGGTTAAGGGATTATGCATTTATAATATTGGTTGATATGGCCAAATGGCTGTAACATTTTAATTGGGTTCCTTAAATATAAACTCACTCTTCAAATTCTCTCTCCCACACTGCTGTAATTTGTTATTTGTTTTTCTGTTTTTTATTTTCGATAGACAAGTCTGTTTTCCCCTATATGGCCAGCGCCCCTGTTTGTCTTGTCACTGATTATATTTTCCCATTTTCCACTTTTGCTAATCAGTACAAACTTACTTATAGTTCTGTCCTTCCATGCTGACTGATTCCCTAACTAAGCTTCTATTCCATTCTCTATCTTTGGAGTAGTGCCTTCATCACATTTGCTTATGGAATTCTGATTTTTTTAAATGTATCATCATTTGTTTATTTTTTATTTTTTAAAAAATATTTATAAAGAGAACAAATTTCATTTATTTTACATACAGGTTTAAGAGCAATTCTTATTTTATCTTTCAAAACCCAGTTCAGATGCCACTGTTGCATTATATGTACTCCTTGAACCTATTTCTGTTGTCTATATATTAACCCAAGTTTCTGTGACCAGCCACTAGTACAGTGTCTGGTGACTAATAGGCCCTCACATATATTTTACTTACATTTAACATTTTTGTATATATCTTTAACAATGTATTCTCAATACTAATAGTCTGTCAATTTTTGTTTTTCAGTTAAGGGCTAAACTTAGTTATCTATATTTGTGTCTAACAGGTTCAGGTTAGAGATTTAGCAGTTTGATTAGTACAAATAATTCACATTTGATAGTCTAGCCATTGGTATGGATTTTATTTTACTTACGTTTCTTAATTTGTTCCATTTTTTTTTCTGATAACACTGATAATTGCTGAATCCTACCTTTATTTTCTGTCTTCAGTTTGGACCTATGTACTGTACTGGAATCAATTCTTTCCCTGACTGAGAAGCATACAATGTTTCATATGCATGAAAAAACTTCCTTATAAATTCAACTAACTTTCAATGAGTGCCTAACTTAATGTGAGGCACTGCTTTAGGCACTGAAAAAAAAGACAAAATCCCCATTCTCATTATCTTATAATGGGGAAAAACAGACAATAAATAAACATGAAGAGTAAATTCACAAAGAACTATGCAATAGGAGAAACACAAGGCAGTTAAAGGATTATAAAGTAGGGGGAAAGGTACTATTATATTTGGGATTTTTAGCAGAGATCTCTCTGAGTAGATCACATTGAGCCATAGAAAGTAAAATGTGAAGAATGACTGGCTGAAGCTTTGGAGAAGGCTTATTCTAGGCATTGTTTATAGCTAGGGCAAGGCCCTTAAGAAGGAACATTCTTGAGGAGGAGCTTCACAGCCAGTCCCAAAGGGACAAATACCATATGTTCTCCCTGATCGGTGACAACTGACTGAACACAAAAAAGGAAACCTGTTGAAGTGAAATGGACACTATGAGAAATGGTGACTTGATCAGCATAGCCCTGACTGTTAATGAACAACTTAATACATTATCCCTCTTAGTAGTTTTTTTTTTTGTCTGTTCTACTTAATATGACTGGTTTAATTCTGTAATTAATACACAGTTATTCTTAAGTGTTGAAATTTAACTGAAATGTGATCCCTGTTAAACATAAGAGTGGGAATAAGAGAGGGAAGAGATGTACAATTTGGGACATGCTCAAGCTGACTTGCCCCAAATGGTAGAGTTAGAAACATACCAGGGGACTCCAATTTAATCCTATCGAGGTGGCATGTACCAATGCCATCTCACTAGTCCAAGTGATCAATTTCAGTTCACAATTGATCATAATGAAAGTTCTAAGAGTCAAAGGGAACACATAAGCAAGTCTAGTACCTGCTAATACTAACAGATAGAATAAATAAAGGGGAGAGTGATCTAACATGGGAAGTGAGATACTCAGCAGACTCATAGAATGGCAGATGTCCTAAACAGCACTCTGGCCTCAGAATCAGCCCTAAAGGCATTCCAATCTGGCTGAAAAGTCCATGAGAGTATTTCAGGCATGGAAAGCCAAGACACTCTGGCAAAAACAAACAAACAAACAAACAAACAAAAACAACAACAACAACAACAAAAAAAACAAACCCTAAATGAAAGATCTCTGTAAGTGAGATCCCAGTGGAAAGAACAGGTCTTCAAAGAAGGAGGTACCTTTCTCTGAAGGGAGGAGAGAACCTCCACTTTGACTATGAGCTTGTCTGAACAAGATAAAGGTCAGAGAACTCAAGGGGCTTCCATAGCCTTGGAAACTCATGACTGGTGCATGGGGAGATTACTGATGCCATAAACAGGAGTGTCAATTTGTAAAGTCAACAACAGGAGTCACCGTGCACTGACTCTTCATGTAGGATCTCTGTCCTTAATGTGCTGTACATTGAGACTTAATGCTATAACGAGTACTCAAACAGTATATTTCACTTTGTGTTTCTATGTGGGTGCAAACTGTTGAAATCTTTACTTAATGTATACTAAACTGATCTTCAGTAAAAAAAAAAAAAAGGAGAAATTATCAATTCCCAACTTGATTCTCACTGGGATTAAACATGACAATAGGTCTGATCTGATTTCATCATCATTTAAAAAAAATCATCTATTATTTTTCACTTTGTTTCTGTGTGGTAGCAAACTGTTGAAATCTTTACTTAATGTATGCCAAACTGATCTTCTGTATATAAAGAGAATCGAAAATGAATCTTGATGTGAATGGAAGGGGAGAGGGAGTGGGAAAGGGGAGGGTTGCGGGTGGGAGGGACGTTATGAGGGGGAAGCCACTGTAATCCATAAGCCGTACTTTGGAAATTTATATTCATTAAATAAAAGTTAAAAAAAAAAGAATGTGAGTTTAGCTGGAGCAGGGTGAATGGAGGGGAGAATGAAAGGAGATGAAGTAAAAGGTGAAAAAGTACAACGTTGTGTAGATCCCTACATGTCCTACTAGGAACCTGGGATTTTATACAGAATCAATGGAGGGGTTGAGTAGAAGAGTGGCATATTCAGATTTACTATTAAAAGTGCAGTGCTCTTGTTGTTGTGGGCAAGGTGTAGGGAGCAAGAGATCAGGGAAATAGATTGGAGAATAGGCTCTTGCAACCCTGAATACTGGTGAGTAGCACAATAAATCATCAGTTCTATGGGTTCTTGATTTGATAATTTCAGAAAAAAAAACATTTTTAATTGCTAATAGGAATTTAAGAAAGCAGTAAAACATAAATAAATACATCTTAAAACATTCTATTCAAAGAGATTCATAATGACTAATAATTACTCCTACTTGTATTTTTACATACAGAAAATTTAAAAAAGCATATTTAAATTTTGTTTTATTTGATTTAGGTGGATATTGCCATAACAAAGAAAGTAGAATGTAAAAATCCAAGAGAGAGGCTCTTGTGTGAAGGGTCATTCAATGAAGAAGCTTCTGCCCAGTCCTTTCAGGAAGTGTTAGGTCAGTGGAGAGCCGGAAATCATGAAGATGAGAAACAGAACTTACATGCAGAAAAACTAGGTATGGCTATTTGTATAACACAGATATTATAATATAAGAATGACTTTATTTATCTCCATCTTCTGTGAATGTAAATGCGATGTCCAAACATTGTAAACATTGGAAAACCAGTTTGCTATGACTCCTCAAAGGAATATGCATTGTATGATCATTGGTGAGTGGTTTAATATCTATAGAACCAAAATTGAGCACTGGGTTATTTGCATTATTTTCCATGTAAATTCAGTCAGTGAAATGAATGGAGAACTGGATGTTTTCAGCTCCTCTTCTTTTAGCAGGGTGTTTTCTTTTTTTCAGGACATCCATTCCTTTCTGAGCTGTAATTGCAACATGTGAGATGGGAGGATTCTTGAGATAGAGAAGTAAAGATTTTTTATATGTATTTTGAAAATTATGATTTTGAGGATCACTGTAGAGTTTAGGGGGCGAGTTGGTTTGTGTTTTAATTTTTATTTCTTTTTGAAGAACAATTTCTTGATTTTATTTTTTCTTGATGATTTTCACTTCTGTATTCTGGGCATTTAAGCTTTAGATGACTGAAATGTACAGAAACTTTGTTTTACATTTTCCAGTATCTCTTGAGAGAAACATATAGTATTAAAATATCCAATTATTACTTTTATGACTCTGAATATTTTAGTGTTTTCCAATTGCTGTTCATTGCAAATGAAATGTTAGATAATAAATTTAAATCAAGTACCTTACTTGACAGAGGCATCTAATTTAACTGTTTTTATTTCATTCTTTTCCAGTGAAAGAATCCTATTATTTCTCCTTTATTACATAGTGTAATTTCTAATGTCAAAGCATCACATGTCATTTTCCCAATATTAATTAAACTTTTTACTAATACGCTGTCCTTCAGATATTTTTCCTACTTTTGTTCATGTTACATCAATTTTGTTAGCATTTAATCTCTTTGTGTGCTTTCTTTAGTAGTGTGTACCTCAGTATATACCTCAACTCTCATTGAATTATTTTGTGCTTTATGTGTTCAATTTCACTTTTCCGCATATATATTCATACATGCATAAGAGCAGCTATCATATAAATATAAATTATTTGTTCCATCATTTTGGAATGTCTAAGTGTAGGAATGGTGTCTCAGTGATGATTTATTTTATAAAATTTTGAGGAATGTTATCAAATTGTCTTCTAAAGATCTAACTGCATCAATTGTACACTCACAGCTAGTCTATGAGATGTCTGCTACCCTGTATTTTCTAGTTCTTTAACTCTATAGGCCCAGAGAACTCTCACATTACCAAAGAATTAAGCACAGGAATCCCTAAATGTGTTTGTTGTAGCTTTCCTATGTAGGATGAAGATGATTATGGAGTGAGCTGTACCTTCTTGGTGTCAGTGGAATAATGGAGTCCTGAAATGGTATAGGGCAGGTGTTGGCACATAATCATGAAAATTGTGGCAGAAAAACTACCAAAATAAAGGAGAGACAAGAAAAGTAATTAGATTGCTTTGAATCACAGATATCTCTGATGACAATTGATATACCTAGGAATTTAAAGGATATACAACCTACTGGGTTACCTATACATATAGAACAATTTTGACTGATGAGCAAAGACATGACTTGAGCCACTATACGGAGGATTTGGAGTTTTATGATATTTGCAGATGTAAGCCAAACCAAGGATAAATGTGTAACGATGAAAGGCGATAACCAGGCCTACAGAAACATTACTAGTGTCTGACTCTGAACTGACACTTTTCCCTGTGTACCCTAACTGCCATGTAAGCCACCAATCAGTGATAGAAGCTGATAGAACTTAAATGACAGAATCTTGATTCTACTTTATAGAATATATTTGACATATGAGCGCTTTATGTGGTTATTTTCCTAGTCCAGAATGTATATTGGGAATGGATAACAATGAGAAAAATCCCCATGTTGGTAGTCTGACTTGTGGTATAAATGTTTTTATGGTAGTACACAAGTAGTAGACACTAGAACCCATCCCTACCAACCCTCTTCCCCATTCCATGCTGAGATAATCTGGAGTAGCAATACTACATTTCTGGAAGTTACAGAGATGAATGAGATAATTAAATGGTTGAAAGATATAGGAATACTATGTTAAACTATTCCTACTTAATTTGCCTGTGTGGATCAAAAGCTGGTGTTCTCAGAGAATGATCAAGTTGTCAAAAACTTGATTGATTATGATGATAGCAATATCAATTTCTTTTCTAGATTTAATGTCTTTCCTACAGAAAGACAATCTATTCCTTGAGATTGGTATCAGTTATTGACTGACCACAGAACTTGGTAAACTTGTTCTGTTAAAGCCAGATATATTATAGCCTTTGGACTATTCCAAAAAACTCAACTACTCAGTCTAGCCACTATAGCCTGGAAGTAGTCCTAGACAGTATATAAATTCATGACTCTGTGTTTCAATAAAACTTTAGTTATGAACACAGAAGTTTGAACTTCCTAATTTTTTATATTAAAATATATTCTTTTATTTTTTCAAACATTTACAAGTATAAAAACTATTCTGTTCTCTCGGGTCATACAAAAGTTGTCCATGGTCAGATGCAGCTCCTAGGCTTATAGTTTGCTGATCCTTGACCTAGAAAATGAATTCTTTTCTATAAGCAAAGATAATCAAAAAATTTTATTTTTTATAATATAGAGGCAAAAGTATACCTGTAAACCTTTACAATCTCACTCCATACCTGCATGAATTCTCCTGCTTACTAGCATTATGTATTCTGAAAGGACTTTGATTGTCTTGCTGTTCTACACATGATAATGCTTATCCATTAAGTTGATGGCGTGATGCTAAAAGGATTTAGTGAGCGAGGATATCTGTTTTAGGATCATTCTATTAGTCCCTTCCTATAATGGAGGGAGTAGATTGGTTTTCATGGGATTGGCTACATATTTCATACATGGATTTGCTTTCTCTTCCTACAATGTGTCTGTCAGTAGGATTTCATTTTATAAGATTTATTTATTTATATTTGAAAGCTGGAGTTACTGAGAGGCAGAGGGGGAGAGAGAGAGAGAGAGAGAGAGACAGAGAGAAAGTCTTCCATCTGCTTGTTCACTCCCCAAATGGCTGCAATCTCCAGAGCTGGTCTGATCCAGAGCTAGGAGCCAGGAGCTTCCTCCGGGTCTTCCACGCGGGTACAGGAGCCCAATGACTTCAGCCATATTCTACTGCTTTCCCAGGCTATAGCAGAGAGCTGGAACAGAAGTAGAGTGGCCAGGACTTGAACTTGCACCCATATGGGATGCCAGCACTGCAGGCAGCAGCTTTACCCACTATGCCACAATGCCAGCTCCCAGGATTCCATTTTATCACCATGATATCTTGCACAACATTGACTCAGATCAAGACACTCATTCTATTATAGAGGTACAGTTCCCACCAAGGAATTCACTGATCTTACCATGTGTCTCATTATCTAGAATTATCCCGCTTAATAGTTTCAGGGAATGACTTCTTGAAGAGTCAGTGTGGTTCTTACTAGAAGACAAAACCTTGTGAGGTTGAAGTGCTTTTCCTACAGGACACTTTATAATCTAGGAAACTCTAGTCATGTTCCCATGAAATCGGCTGCTGAGATTCCCCTTGTTCTGTTGGAGCTTATTATCACTGAATTAATAGGAAGGGGCAAGGGACACTTTGCTGACTCTGTTGGTAGACCAAAATTACTACTGAACACATGGATCACTACTACACAATTAAGAAGATACAGATTGTATCTGGAGCCCAAGGTTTCGTTGGCTTTGTATTTTAGTGTTCCTATATCCAGTAGTACTGTTCAATGGGAAATTGGCAACTCAGTAAAAAGAGGGCTTCTGTGTTTCTACATATTTTGAGAATGAAGAATTAAAGCAAAAAAAAAATAGCCAAAGTACTGGTAGAGAGTAAAGTGAACTTAGAATCAGTCGTGCATGATGGGAACTCTGATAATTAAATCGGCATGGGCTTCAAAACCCTTTCAAAAATAGAGAACATTGCAACTGTGTTTTATGTGGAATAATTCATTTTCTCCCACCTTTTTCTTGCTAATTTACCTAAAGTGTATTAGTAGTGGCTATGTTTTAAATATAGGATTCAATTGGGAATATCACTATAATGAAATCTCTCTGGGATTCATAGATAGCTAATCACTTGTCTGATTTCCCTATGTTTCCTTCTCTGTTGGTCTTTCCAGATTCCTTCTTTGCTACTCTTGTCTTACTCTGTGTCCCCAGGGACTGATCTCTAGAGAATTGCTCTCTGGATTCTTGCTGGGTTTGGCAATGGGAGACACAGGACATTGTAGGGTGAGAATCAAGAGGTAGAAATATTACTTTTCTGACTTGTTAGCATGCTGCTGTTTTAGAATGATTGAATTTTCTATTTCTATTAGCAGCACATCTCAGAATGGCCTTTCTTCCATAGGGATAGCTTTCAGTGACTTTTTCTAACAGTTTTCTTTCTTTGTACCTTTGAGCCTAGGATTGCTACCAGTTTTTCATTTATTTCTTAATCTCTGGATGCTTTAACACCAAATGATTAAATGATTATAGTCCCTTCATTTGACTCTCTTCAAATCATAGCATTAAGTATTATTATAATCTCTTGATAGGCCCTGGCCAATTCAGATTGTTGGAGAAAGGTTTCTTTTAAATCCAAAATCTGCATTAAGATGTAGAAGCTGAGTTGGAGATTGGGGATAGAAAACAGCATGCTGAAATGCTCTGGGATCAAGGGAGTAGATCAAATTTATGGAAGTAGGGGCAGGTGTGGGTGGCTGAGCCTCAGAGAGCAAGGGAGGATTGACAAGAAGCTAGAGAGGTAGAAGTACTGACATCCAGTGGCCTGGGGGAGAAGACAAGCAGGCAAAGAACACCGAGTGGTGCAGACCTAGGAGGGATGCTGGTAGAGCTTATTCTCATGAAAGCAGTGCGAAGCAGTGTTTTTAAAAGTGGACTGAGGTCAGCAGTGTGGATGTTGTGGAAAATCATTAAGGTGAGGGCTTTTTGGATATAATATGTAAAGATTTTTTTTGTTCCAGAGTACAATACATATGATTGATATTACATATCTGATTGACAATAAATGTATATATGGCATGTATGTATGTTTGTAAATGTTTTACCTTTCATAATAGACTTTATATAATATATTAGATGAATACAAAGAACACTTAAAAAATTTAGGTAATTCATGGAGGAAAAACAGTAAGTACCTGTGAATCTAATTCTAGACTGAAAAATGGAATCCAACTACTGTTCTGTTTGAAGACCTCTTTCCTTATCAGTCCTATTCCCTTCTTTCTAGGAGATTATCACCAATCTGAATTTTTTGTTCATTTTTTTCATTCCTTGATTTCCTTGGATTTTACTGAACAACACATTGTTAATTTTGCATAGATGTGAACATTATGTAAGTGGAATATGGAATATGCATTCTTTTCTGAACGCTTCATTTCACTCAATATTTTGTTATTGAGATTCACTATGTAGATGTGCAGAGTTGTAGTTTTCTCATTTTTATTGTTCAAGTGCTTGACCTAATTTAAACTCTACCTGCAATGTATAAAAGTTTTGTCTGCTTCCCATTATTACCAACACTCACTATTGTTAGATTTTAAATTTATTCCTCGCTTGATAGATCTAAAATGGTTTATTTAAATTGTTTACTTTTTATTACAAATGAAATTGAGCATATTTTTTTTAAAAAATGATTTATTTGAAAATCAGAGTTACAGAGAGGTCTCCCATCCACTGGTTCATTCCCCAAGGCAGGAGCCAGGGGCTTTATCCAGGTCTGCTGTGTGGGTACCAGGGGCCTGAGTCCTTGGGCCATCTTCTGCTGCTTTTCCCAGGGCATTAGCAGAGAACTGGATCAGAAGAGGAGACTCTGGGACATGAACCCGCGTCCATATGGGTGCCGGCACTGCAGGAGGCAGCTTTCACTTACTATGTCACAATGCTGGCTCCCAAATTGAACATCTTTTCATATGTTTCTTAGCCATTAAGCTTAGTGACATGCTTTCAGTACGCTAGTTTTAATGTCATTTTAGTACTCCTAAGGTTCATTTTTTTTTTTTTATTGTGAAAGGTACCTTCACTTTTATTAGATAGTTCCATTGTCCTAGAAGCTTCTATATGATTTGAATTCCATTATCTGTGAGGCCTTATTTCCTAGGTTGTTGGTTTTCAGTGATTCTGGCTTCCTGATATCCTCCAAACACTACAGGCATACTTGCACTATTAAGGAAAATACCAGCAATCTACAAGAATCTCACAGATTCTCACAAAAGGTAGCCAGGGAACCATGAAACAAGAGAGGAAAACCAGAACTCAAGTTCCATAGCTTTTGTGGCAATTTCCAGGGAGCTCTGTCTCATAAATTCACATAATCTGGATTTGTTTGCTTATAAGCATTCTAAACAAGGGCTATCTTGCTAAATGTTATACATTACTAAATCTTCTCCTCCTGGAAATATCATTAATCGGTTTGCCAGAAGATCTAGTTATCAACCTATTCACAAACAAATTAACCCCAGGTCACCTCCCATCTTTATTTCCTGGGAATGTGCCATTGGTAATGAGAGAAAAGTGAATCATGAACCCACTGTTTTTACTCCGAACTCCACATTGCCCTTCTAGATTTGGAATTATCTCTCAGGCACAGTGACTCTCCTCTATGACTTGGGGGGATAAGTGGGGAGGGAATGAACTCCTCTTTTTTCTGTTTTTTTTTTTTTTTTTTTTCCTTCAGCTTTCCTGTTAGGAGACAGTTTGTTTATAGTGGAAAGGAAGATTCATAGTGAAGACACCTCCTTATCTCCATGACTTGCTCATGTCCTTAACTCCTACTCTTTCAGTTTAATGGATTCTGGTTGGTCTTTCTCTTTTCTCCGCATTTAATCAAATTGCTTACTCAGCATCTCTACTTGGAAAGACTATAGGTGGAGTGACTTTTGTTCTTTTGCTTTATATTTATTGTCTAGCATTTGGCTGCTTCTGGAAGTGAATCAGTGAAGTCTGATTGGTTTAAAATTTGTTTCCCATGTTTATATTTCCCCTCTCTCCCTCCTATATTATTCATTTTGGAGACAGGGCCAATTTGTAGGAGGGTGAAGAGGCCAGTAATCCTGAGTTTATACTGATTTCTTTTTTAGAAGCCTTACTCAGTTTTGAATATATCTGAATAGTGACTTTAATTTAGCAGTACTTCAGAAATCTGTTAAGCATCTGGGACTTAATTCCTGTGTAGATATAAATTCAGGAGAAGTACTGTATCCTTAAGTGTCATTTTGAATTATTTATTTTCTGGTTGCCATAATGTGTAAATATTGACAGTGGCTATAATTTGTGTCTTTATGGGTATGTGCATTTATAGAATGGTCAATGAATTTTATATTTTTCTTTCTCGTTGAAAAGAATTAGTTACTTTAAAGAAAAAAAAACCTGTGAATGATAAGAATCTTCTGTTTTAGAGGATTGTTGAAAATAATTGTCTATACTATAATCATTCAATAAATTATACCAGTTTTTAACACTTTAGTATTATTTAAACCCCAATTCATTTTTAAGATAGATAAAAAGTACATGTGCTTCAAAATGGTGAGTTCTATGTCTTGGGAGAAGATACAGAGAAAACAGTAATTTATATACTTGTTTACATTAATTATGTAGATAGTTACATTGTGTTTATTTTTATAGACTCTTTGGGAGCATGTGAAGTACAGACTAATCTGAAAATTTGGAGAGAACCACTTAATATTGAATTTAAAGAAGACAGTCTATCCTACATGGAAAAATTATGGCTTAAAAAACACAGGAGGTATTTTCTGGATTGTTATTCTTATTGGGAAATATAAAAGCTCTTTATGATCCTTGATTTTTGTGACATGACTTTTCAGAGCAACTTTATATCTCTTACTGTGTTTTATATTTGCATAAATAATTTAAGGCCATATTAAATCCCTGTAAAGCTTCTACTGTTCTAAAAATTTTAATTCTATTTTTGTTTGTGTTGCATCATTAATTTAGAATTTGCCTTGAGAAATGGAAATGTATACATGGGAAAAAGCACACATGCAGTATAAAACTTAAGATTCATAGCAAAAATAGAGTGATAAATGAAAGATTCCTTTGATAAGATATTGTCGTCAACTTTTGTATGTTAGCATAAGCATTTGAGACATTTTGAGTCTACTTTTAAGTTAATTAGACCTTTGATTTTATTAATAGTGTCAAATATTTCTTATTCAAAGTTTATATCATTAGATATACTGCTTCATAAATTATTAGGAAATTCAAATTTTGTTAAACCAAATTTATAAATGAGTACAAATTATAGTCACTCATCATTTCATTATATAAGGCCCATAGTATTTCTGATTTGAGAGGTACCTTTATATTTTTCTTTTTAAATCTATTTATTTGAAATGAAGAGAAACATATGCACAGAGAGAGATAGAGACAGAAAGGCAGACAGAGATCTCTCATTCACTGGTTCATTCCCCCAAATGCCTGCAACACCCAGGGCTAGGTCAGGGTGTAGCCCGGAGCCAGAAACTCAGTCCAGGTCTCTGATGTGGGTGGCAAGGATCCATGATCTTGAATTGTCAGCTGCTTCCTCCTGGGATGTGTGCTAGTAGAAACCTAGAATCAAGAGAGGAGCCGGCTGGCACTGCGGCTCACTAGGCTCATCCTCCACCTTGCAGCGCTGGCACACCGGGTTCTAGTCCTGGTTTGGGCGCCGGATTCTGTCCCGGTTGCCCCTCTTCCAGGCCAGCTCTCTGCTGTGGCCAGGGAGTGTGTGGAGGATGGCCCAAGGCCTTGGGCCCTGCACCCCATGGGAGACCAGGAGAAGTACCTGGCTCCTGCCATCGGATCAGCGCAGCCCACTGGCCGCGGCGGCCATTGGAGGGTGAACCAACGGCAAAGGAAGACCTTTCTCTCTCTCTCTCTCTCTCACTGTCCACTCTGCCTTTCAAAAAAAAAAAAGAGAGGAGCCTGAACTTGACCCCAGACACTCAGCAGTGAGACATGAGTATCCCAAGTGAAGTATTAACCACTGCGTCAGAAGTCCACCCCTGGAGATACACCTTTAAAAGCCACAATCTCAGCTTCCCATACAACAGAGCTACCCACACTTCACTGTTCACTGCCAGTCACCTAGAGGCAGTGCCAAATTAGGTTCTTGTGTAGTTGATCTGAAGTATTGCCTGAGTATGTGCACTTCTGAATTTCTAATAGCTCCCAAGTGACAATGGTGTGGATGATGCTACTACCTGGATCTAGTTTTGAGGAGCAAGGATATGGAAGCACTCTAGAGCGAGCCTGAGGAGCGATCATCAAGCCCATTCTTTATCTTCATTCATAAAAAGAGATTTCCTGAGGGAGACCATTCTGTCTTTGGAATATTCTGCCTAATACCATCTCCTCCTGTGCTGTAATCTGTCTTCAGCTAGTTTCCAAACTTGATCCTAATTCTCCCCAACTAAGGAAGCCTGTATAGAGCAAATCTAATTTCTCCTCTTCATGAAATCTCTTCAGATTTTAAAAGCCAGTTCTCATGTCTCCCTTAATGCTTCTGTTTGATAGATTATCTGTACCATGCCTTAACTGTTTTTAATGTGGCGAATTTTAAACAGTTTTTAAAGATTTATTTATTTATTTGAAAGGCACAGTTGCTGTGTGTGTGTGTGTGTGTGTGTGAGAGAGAGAGAGAGAGAGAGAGAGAGAGAGAAAGAGAGAGAGAGAATCTTCCATTTGTTGGTTCACTCCTCAAATGGCCGCAAGAGCCAGGGCCTGGTCAGGCTGAAGCCAGGAGCCAGGAGCTTCTTTCTGGCTCCACAGGGGTGCAGGGGACCAAGTACCTTAGGCATTCTTCATTGCTTTCCTAGGCTCATTAGCAGGGAGTTGGATAGGATGTGGAGCAGGTGGGACTGGAACCAGCTCCCATATGGGATTGCTGGCATTGTAGGTGGTGGCTTAACTTGTTATGCCACAATGCTAGCCCCAATTTTTAAACATTTTTAATTTTGAGTTAAGATATGCAGAAAAGTTTCAAAGTAATGCAATAATTCCTAGACATGCACTTGGGTTTCCCTAACTGGTAACATCTTAAATAATTGTTGCTTATATATCAAAATCAAGAAACTAACATTACTACTGGCTAAATTGTAGATTTTATTTGCATTTTATCAGTCTTTCCACTAATACACCTTATCTTGCTTAAGGATCCAATCTAGAATCTCTTATTGCATTTTTTGTCATTTATCCACTTCTGTTTTAGTTCTTCAGCCTTTCTCTTTTATGACCTCAACATTTTAAAATATATATTGCTAGATGTTTCATAGAATCTGCATATTTGGAGCTTGTCTGAAGTTTTTTCACCATTAAATTGACATTATAGGCATTGGGTAAGAATCCTACAAGAAGGTTGTATCCTTCTCAGTGTTTGATATTATTATGGAATCATGATGTCAACATATCTTATTACTGGTGATGCTGGCCTTGATCAATGTGGTTAAAGTGCTGCTCACCAAGTTCCTCCACTGTAAAATTACTGTTTGCTTTTTAATTGAGATGATGCAAATTTTTCCCATAAACTTTTACTTACTAACTTGTTTTTGCTTATAGCAGTTATTAGTCTGCTATTCTATTGGTGATTTCATTTCCTTCTTCTATGTATATTAATTGAAATTCTTCCTGAAAGAAAATGTTCCTACTCTCAACTTTCTTTATTTATTCAGTTGTTAATTATGTGGACTCATGGATATTTATTTTTTGCATTAGCATGTAATAATGTTATTATTTATTTTGTGAGTCAATTTGTTCCTGCTTTGGCTGTTAAGACTCTCCTAGTTGACTCTACTCTTTTAACGTGTCCTCATCCCTTTTTGATTGTTTTCCTTAGTCTGCTTTTGACCACATTGTTTATTTATTTTCTGGTACTCAAGATATATAAATGCATTTCCTGCCCTAACCCAGGAATCACTGTATTAAAAATCATTATTCCTTTTATTGCAGAACAATGTTAGGAAACCAAGATCTAGACTATAGGAGTGTGCACTGCTACTCAGGTGACACAGATTCTAGGCCTTTTAAAAGCATGAAACTAGAAAAATCGTAGATTTAGTCTATATTCACTCACTAATCCAGTATATACACACATCAAAATGCATTGCTGTATCTAATTATCTGAATATCTACTAAAGTAACATGGTTTATTTTGGTATCTCTGACTTTAAACACATGGTTCATACAGCATTTTCATTTTGTTTACTTGAAGCATCTTTTGCATACTGTGGGGAACCTGGCTTTCGTTACCTATATTTATTAACTTATCAACTAAATTTATATAATATATATTTATAAGTAATATCACTGCAAGAAACAAACTTGCCAACAGTAGAATAGCGGCTGGAAACTGTACTTTTCATCCAGTCAAAATATTATACTTAGATCATGCACTCATTTCCTCCTCACCTGCTTTAGGGTGTTTATGTTTTTCTTTGGTTTCTGCCCATATCCTGATTGGTTTTAAAATTTCAATAGAATTAAACTAGTCATTTCCAGTTTTATGGGTTTTTCCCAATGAATAAGTCGAATATCTACCATATTATCAAACAGAACTTTCATCACCCCTCAAATTCCCTTGTGTTTCTCCTTCGTGCTCTGTCCTCCTCAACCTGTGGTAACCGCTGATCTGTTTTCCATCTTTATAAATTTGTCCTTCTCTGAAGACTGTAGAAATGAAATCATACAATAGATAGCCTTTTGTATCCTTCATTTAGCAAAATGTATTCACAATTCATCCACATTCTTGTATGAAGCAATATTCATTCCTTTATATTGTGGAGTAGAATTTCCCATCATAATGTGGCAGAGTTTATCTCTCCATTCTTTTATTGAATCACCTCCTGTTAGCTTCTAGTTTTGGGCAGTTGTCACCAAATATCTTATAAATATTTGTACACAGGGTTTATAAAAATATATATACATATGCATTTAATTCTTTAGATAAATATATGTATTTAATTCTTTAGATAAATACTTGCTTCTGGAGTGGTTGATCTGCTTGGCTAGTTTATCTTTATAAAAAATAGCCAAACTGTTTTTCCAAGTTACTGTATCATTTTTCATTCTCTCCAACATGTATGAGAGTTCTACTTGCTACTGACTCTTGCCAGCAGCTTGTATTTTTTAGCTGTTTTTTTCTCCTTCTGGTTGCTCTATAATACACATGTAGTCATATCTCTTTGTGGTTTTATGTGGCAGGGCTTTAAATTCATTCATTATAATATTCTCATAATTCTTATATGAAAAATGTTTAGGCTGTTCATATATCTTAAAGGGTTACCCATAACATCTCTTAAGGTGTATAACTTAGTAATGTGTACCTGCTGGTCAACTCTTTCTAGTTTAGCAATTATATATGAACATAATCCAAAGTCATGTATTTTATTTGGCGGCTACCTTTCAGTGTTGGGTCATGTTGAATTTCTCCTACAATAATCAGATACACAATTCTGGTATTGTCCAGCCATCACTGTTTGTGCTTGGACAGATACAAGAAACAATAATCACGTGTACAGCAACTCCTGAACTAAGGTGAATATTGAAAGCTGGCAGATTTCATTAACAAGGACATAAGTACTAAACTTATTCATTGTGGTCTCATTTACACTTTTTTTTTACTGGTAATCAGTTTATTTTTTTTAAAGATTTTATTTATTTATTTGCAAGGTAGAGTTATGGACAGTGAGACGGAGAAAGGTCTTCATTCCATTGGTTCACTCCCCAAATGGCCGCAACGGTCAGAGCTGT